AGAGAGCCTGAACAGCCAATATGGGAATCCTGTGTTACTGAACATTTTCTGACGCGCAGGGTGTAGCTGGGCTAGACCCTTTGCAGTATAATTTAATTATTGATAATAGTGAAAAAATATAAGCATGGTTCTTAGGACAATAAATTGGATGATTTTTCCTTAACTACGCTATTGATTGATTCTAGCCAGTCAGCAGCAAAAATTTTTAGACAGTTATGGATATAGCTAATTCGTTTAACCTGACATGCACGCATGAACGTTTCTGCCATCCATGGTGTTTTGAGCGCGTCTACCGGCAATGTTATCATTTGACTGAAGCACTACGGAAGGTGTATGGGGAAGATTTACCCTCGGTTGGTCGACTAGACAAGCGTAAAGTGATTATCGACGCCTGGATTAGTCGACAGGAGAACTTCAAGAAGGTGCATATTACTCGTACTTCCGTGGTTTAATATCATTTTCTCATTCAAAAATGAGTATGTTGAGCATGTGCAGTTGTTATTCTTGCAAAGCTTGACGAAATCCAGCCTTTTTTATAGCAAGCTAAGAAAAATCGGTGGCCATTTTTGCAGCGAACATGAGGCATGCTAGTTGAACAGGAACAGTATGAAGTACTAGTCATTATAACAGCAACAAAATTAAGAGAATATAATCAGTAATTTCAAAGCTTATAAGAAAGAATACATGTTTCAGTCGTCACAGCGCCTTTCTAGTTTGCTTCCGCCACGCCGAGAAAGTGCCACTGTTCGTCCCGGTGCGATGTTGGACAAGCCACCGATGGCACTACGAAGCTTATTAATCGAAAAACTGGGCGAAATGGAAGAAAACAAGGATAGTCGAGCCAGAAAAGCTAGTATTCTAGTCTTTTTTGCTCTACGTCATTTTGTTATCTACCCTTTTTGTGCGTTTTTTTGCACCTATGCAATGCAAAAACGCCGTGATGGCAAGTCTCAGTTCTTTTGAATAGAAGCATCTACCGGAAAAAAACAGTGTCATTAGCAAAAAAA